TGTCATATGTTAGGACAGACCCAGTTATGTTGGGAAAATGTAAATAATTTGCACGAGCTGCTGCTTTAAAGATTCAAAAAGTTCACCTAATGTCTTCGCTCAAGTAGTGATCAGGGATAGGGCTAGCCCCCAAACTCCCCTGTCTTGTGTTCATTCCTCTGCATCACTTCTTCAGAGCCTACCTTGGGTGGGTTCCGGTGTGTCCAGGGCTCCTGCCGCTGGGCAAGCAGGAACAGACACTGGATTCCCTGTCACTACTTTTCCAAAAATTATTCCTTACTTGCTTAGGCCTATTACAATTTCCATCCGTTCTTCGTTTTTTCCCTGCCTTTGTCCTTAACTCCTCCTTTGAACCTAGGTGCAGGCTTTGGAAGAATAGATCATTTTGCTGCAGTGGGGAAGGGATATCTTTTATCAGTATCTATAAATATATACTGTTATCATTGTTTGCTTTCCTGTTTCTTTCCCTTGGGTGTTAAACTTTGATTTTTTCATTCAGTGAAATCGGGCAGAGAGAGATCAGTTTACAATCAGTAAAACTAGTGCCCAGACCTCCCTTATCCTCTATACCTGCCTTACTAATCTAATTTTCAACTTCAAGTATTAAATGTCTATTTCTTTCTCTCCTTTGCAGTTCTATTTCTGTGTCTTTTTTTTTTTTTTTGCATACTTTACTCAACAGTACCGTCTCCTTCTCCTGCTCTTCCCATCTCTTTTTTGTAATTATCTGTGTCATTGCCTTAAGTACCCTTAACTGTTTTCTCTGCCCTGGGGAAATCCGCGCTTGTTGTTGTGCTCTCTATTTGTAAACCCTGTCTCCTATGTTATGTAACTGTCAGAACACAAATAACACAGGAACGTTTTTTGTCAGAGGGCACAACAAAATGCATTTGAAACAAGTCTGCGAAGAGGTACAGAATGCCTGTGTTCATGCTTTGTAAAACTATTAATGCAGTAGAGCTGAAGCAGGTTTATTTTTACAAATAAAGGTTATTTATGATGTTCCGCCAGAACGCAAAGAGCAGCTTTGCAGATCTCTGTGACTGTATGTGTCATCTTGTTTTATTGCATCAATGTGCAAATACTTAGAAAATGTAACTTCTTGCAACAAATTAGTTCCTGTTACTCAGAGCCACCATGGAAATTGCCTTGAGGGGGCAGGAGGACTTACCTAAACAGGTCTGGGTGAAGAAAACGGCATGTGTGTTTCTGTTATTTGGGCAACATGCCCTGATAAACAGGTGACCTTACACAGAGATCATTAAGTTCACTGTGAATAAGTGCTGAAGGCTTTAGGGGGAGCAGGGAAGACGGTTCGGCATCTGTTTAAAGCAGAAACAAATACATCCAGTAATATTATGAGTAATAATAAAACCTGTGATTTGCATCCCATAGTTCCATTCCATAGGAATGCTCCAGGTTATCGTGGCCGTAAAAAAAACATCAGCAGTTCAATCCTTTATGCCTCTCTGCTTGTGGTACAACACATAAAACGGTGGGGTTCTGAGATTCGTGCGCAGTGGGAAAAGCTTTTCTCTTCTCTCTCCAGTCTCCGAGGCATGTCAGCCAAACCTTTCCCGTCTTCAGAAAAAAAATGCACAGGGGATTGCAGGTTCCTTGGCTTAGTAACAAATGTATTCCAACGCTCGCACCCCAGTAAGAATTTCCTTGGTGTGGGCAGTGTTCTGTTGTGTTCCCTGGTCTAACACCTTACTGCCCTTTGTTTTTTCAGCAGAGTGCACTGATCCATTTATCTAGTACTCAAGGACCTATTGAAGTTTATCTGTGCCCAGAGGAAAACGATGCCCTCAGTCCAATGAAAACCTATAGTCAGGACCACAACGGAAATATTTCCAAAACCATTTCCAAAGGTAAAAAGATTTCTTTGTAATACTAATGGCCTGTCTTCATGCTCTCACTCAAGATTCCATTTTGAACTTCAGATATCCAGCTCTTATTTTTTGGCTTTAGTTTTCTAAGACGTGAAAAGCCGAGGTACCGGTTTTCTGCTGTGTCGTTCTGGTTTAGATAGCAGGGAAAAGGTTTTTTCCTCTGCATCGGCTGTTTAAAGTAAGTTTCCTATTTGAATATCATATGTAACCAAATAAAACTATTGGAAACCTATTTGTGTTTTCAAACAGGACAGTAGCAGCAAAGCTTGTCCTCAACACCAGAGGCAGAACCCACTGGGGATGGGTAGATGCAGCCACGCAGTGTCACTGATGGCATCTCTTGCCCGGGCACTTTCCACTTGGGCTACAAATTCCACTGAAAAACGGGCATCTCTCAAGACTTAAGACTTGCAAAATCATTTTTTAGTTGAAAAGTCGGTGGTGGTAATGACATGCTTGTTTTTGAGCAGCCCTTTGTAACATCTCCAAATCAAGCTGTAATTTCGATGGAGGCTATTTTTATGAAAAGTCTGCTATTTCTGATGAGATTAAATATGTCATCTTCATTTTTATTTTTAATTTTGTTTTTTCTCTCCCTGCTCTTACAGAAGTGGCTTCTGCTAACTCAGGACAAGGTGACTGCTCAGTAAATATGGCAACGATCTCCCCGTTGGCTTCTCCAGCCAACCTTCTCCAGCAGACCGAGGACCAAATTCCCTCAAACTTTGAAGGACCGTTTGTGAATTTGTTGCCGCCTCTGCTTCAGGAAGATTATTTGCTGAGCCTTGGGGATGAAGAAGGCATCAGTGACCTCTTTGATGCTTATGATTTAGAGAAGCTTCCTTCGCTGGTGGATGAGTTTATATACAGCTGATTCTCTTAAAGGCTGTCGGCGTGTAAACCCTATTTTTAATGGAATCAAAAAACCTGCCGTCGTTCAGAGTTGTCCCCTACTTACTAGAGAATAGCATTACTAAAGAAACTAGGCTCCTGAACAGTGCTGATATTTTAAATACTCCCTCAAATACTAGAAGCAACACGTGAAGGCTTTTAAAGCAAGGCCTCTTCCTTGACCCCGAGCTCCAGCGCCTTGCTCGCCAGCAAGCGCAAGCCGGCGACCGGAAACGTTTGGTCTTCACGCTCCCCCGGTCTCCGCTCACCGTGACGCGCGGGCTGACGGAGAAGGGCTCCGAGAACTGGTTTAGTCCCAAGCAACTCTTTTTATAATAGTATTTCAGGTCGTGCCTTCTGCAGAGAATGCATGTCTTCTTCTTAAGTGTCACAACACGGATCGGACCTGCAGCGAACGTAAATATGAAGTAACGCAAAAGCGTGAAATGGGATTCTTCAGCTACTCGTGGGAATGTTGAAATTGCTGTCCTAATGCTCATTTTGAGCTGTAAATGTGTCTCATTATGAGGTCAAATACTTACGTCCTTAAAAGCTTTTAATACAAAAAAAATACACTGTAAATGTAGTGTATATTGCAAATATTGAAAAGTATAAAGTTCTGCCACTTCTTGTAGTAATCACAGATTTTTAAAAATGCTTGTGTGTGTGTGTGTGTGTGTATGTGTGAAAATAGTTTCTGTTGGTTTTTTTAAACTAGAACGAAGATGCACAGTTCAATTTTACTGCCCCCAGTGTGCATTAGAACTGGTACATAAATTTTTGTGGTACTAAGTGGGGCTTTGTGTTAAGTGCCTACTAGAGATGCACTGTGGGTTTTTCCCTCTATGGAAAACACTTATGCCAAGCTTTGTTTGTTCAATATATCATATTTATCTCAGTGGGTTAGCTTCCTCTGCTTACAGCTTTTTATAATTCTCTTCGCCAGCAAAATGGAACTAATTTTTTTCCAAAGTACATAACTGTAAGTACCACATCGACTGAATTGCATTTATTTTTTTGAAGATCTTTGGTAGTATAGTATAGTACCAATATTTATTTTTTTGAACGTGAGAGGAGTTCTAAGAAGTCTTAAATAAATTTTTTTCTTTTTTTTTTTTTTTGGAATGTAAAATATGTTGCCATGTTTCTGGGCCGAATTAATGTAATGTTGATTAGATGAGGCCCATATAATCCTTTTGTTTGCGTTACCGTTGTGCTTCTCTGACATCCTCAGAAAATTAGGACTCTTTGTACTGTAGTAGAATATGACGTACGCAGGTTTTCTGGTACCGTTGAGTTGCTGCTATGAAAGCTCACACACGAAAAGGCAAGAAGTCACAGTACTAATAAGAAAACTGTATGACTGTGTGAGTTTTGGAATATAACAAATGTATAAAGGGCAACACATAAAGAACTGTTAAACAGTGTTAAGTGTGTGTTTATATGTACAAAAGTGTGCATAGATCCTTCAGCAGTTGTATTTAAGTTGATGTAAGTTCTCGACTCACACTTTAGTTACCCAGCAGTTTTGTACAATAGAATTAATTTGTAAACACTGCCAGAATATTTTCTAGCTGGTTTGTAATTTTTTTAAGAGGCTTTTTTTTTTTTTTTTTAGATGTGGATCTGTAAATAAAATTGTAGTATTTAAAGTTTTCGTCTTGTGGAAGAGGAAAGTAAAAGTCGTGTGAGCATGAAGATTTGCGAGGCAAAGGGGCACTTTTGCAGGGGAAGAGAAAATAAAGACTAATGCAGACCATCTTCTTTTGTACAAAGGAAACACTTGTCCCAATGTGTGTGGGCAAAATACTAATCTAATTTAGCTTTGCATTGTATGCTAGTTTAACAAAAAACCTCTGTAAAATACTGTAAAAAAAGCAAAAAAAAAAAAAAGAAAACCACAACAAAAAAAAGCTTTTATGGTGAGTTTTGTAAATAGATTTATTAAAGGATGACCTGTTCTCTAGCTGTGATCTTACCACTTCAAATGGATGTAATTTGAATAAATTTTGTATGGTAATGAATCAATAAAAAGGATTTTTTAAAGAGTTTAGATTTGTGTACAGTGATTTAACTTCTTACTCTTGGTGCTTATTGTGCTGCTTCTTGGAACCTAGCAGTTACTATTTTCATTATTTATATATATTATATATA